TATGGCGCTAACGAGCAAATGCTGATGAGATGGTGAAGGCGGACGATATCAAAGCATTACTGGGTGTTCCCCTGCCTCTTGAAAGCACATTGTTGCCATCGTCTTGCTCCGCGCTTAATCCAGTGATGCTGCAGGTTAGCATGCGGCATGGAGGGGAGCCTGCTTTTGATAGAGAGTGAGGTTTCATGACGAGTCACTCAAGCTCTTTAGCTTGCGTTCATCTTTTCAAGTGGAGGGAGGTCGGTAGAGGCAAGTGGAGAAGAGGAGAGTGTCATCACGTGGAGTGGGAGGAGGATTGGCAGGAGACATCCAGTGCGTATTTTATGAAGAAAGGTTCTGCGTCATCATCATCATCATCATCAGCATAATCAGGAAGGATCCGTACAAGGTCATCACGTTTATCTTTTGCAGTTCAAATGATATAGTCATCACCAGCAAAAAAAATAAAAATAAAAAATAAAAAAAATCATAGAATAACATTCTTCTAATAGATTTTTATAGATTTTTATAGTATAGAATATTATAGAATACCTTACAATTACACACGTTGGGTTTTACGAAGATAGTTTTTTTGTGATTCCTGTGGTTTGTCATAGGCTGTGTGTTGCATGGGAGCTTGTGACGGTGATAGCTGTGGTCCTCGGTCCCCCTGACGTGAGAAAACTCGGGGGTACCGGTAGCGCCGTTTCATGACGGGTACCGGTCGTACAACGTGGAAAACCGGGCGGGCCTCCGTACGGAATTTGCGGCAAAAGTTTGAAAGAAAACGAATCGGCGCGGCAAATATTTCACCGTCAAAATGATTTTTTTTTTTTCCTGATATTTTTCCCTGAAAGATCACGACCTAATCTACGGACCCTCAAATTTTCAGACATTTTGATGATTTTTTCTGAGCACAAAAAATCGGCAAAGTTGCCGCTTGCAAAATGGCGGGATTGGACCCGTCGGCCTCCGTACAACCCGGCGGCTCTGTACGGTCGCCGCCCCTCCGTACAACCCGGCCCTAACTCACAGGGATTAGGGGTTTTCGACGGCGGGGGGACCAGTGGTGCCTGGCCGAAGAGCCTGGCTCATCCCTGCAGGCCGTGATTATTGATGTGAGGGATGCTGGGCCCGTTTCCCAGCCTGTGATGATATAATAAATCCCACCCCTAGCACCCGCTCGGGTTGTTCTCACAAAAAAAAAAAAAAAAAAAA